AGGGAGGGAGGGAGGGAGGGAGGGAGGGAGGGAAGGGCTATGTAAAGCAGCCGGATTTCTATGTCATTGGAGAAGTTTGCAGAATGAAGGACAAAGCGTTAGCTCTGAGCTGATTTGGACAGAGGGCAGGGAAAGGGTTCACAGAAACCTGCGTTAGTAAAATCAGTAAGTGGCTGATTATTGATACCTCGTCTTGCTCTGTCCGTGGCTTCCAGCTGTCAGGTCAATGTCAGGGAAAGGGTATTTATTGTTCCCTGTTCCATGGAGCCCGTTTGGATGACGCTGTGGGACGTGAACGCACCAACAGGCGGGCTGTTAGCATGGTGGGAATCACCTTGCGCTGGGGTCTCTGCCCATAGGAACCCCCCGGGAAGCCCAGCTCAGCCTGGAGCAAACCCCGGGGTCCCTGCCACACTCATTTCCACACAACTCCTCAGTACCCCAGGATTTCAGAGGGCAATGGAAGGGTGGAGAGACAATTCAACAACAACAACAACGAAGAAAACCATTGTAGCTATTATTCAGAGCACTCTTCATGCTAGGGATGAGCTCACCCATCTCAGGAAATGGATGGATACCCACCTGGCATTTTGGTTTCTAGAACTGTCCCTCCTTTGAGAACACTCTGCCTGGTGCACACACCAGAAAAGCTCTCACACTCATCAGAGCAAACTCATAGAGACAGAAATACACTTCTCTATTTTCATTTTCTTTTCTTTTCCCACCTAGGGCTTATCCTTAGGACCTGGGCGCCATCCCTGAGCTCTTTTTGCTCAAAGCTGGGGCTCTACCACTTTGAACTCCAGCACCACTTCTGGTTTTCTGGAGGTTCACTGGAGATCAGAGTCTCATGGACTTTCCTTCTTGGTCTGGCTTTGAACCGGGATCCTCAGATCTCAGCCTCCTGAGTAGCTGGATGACAGGTGTGAGCCATCGGCACCCGACACAGGCAGAAAACTTTTGATTTAGATGACATCTGAATGTTTGAAGTTAATAGTTCTAATTTTGTACATTTCATAACTCTTCGCATTAAAAAGGTGATGTGTCTACTGTATAAAATAACTATACTTAATATATAACATAAGTAAACCTTTTGCAATATAAAGGGTGCTATATTTTACAAATCACAAGTTTGTACAATCTATTTAACTTAATAATTAATAATTAACATTTGATGCAATGATGGCCATCACTATATTATATACACATAAATGTCTCTATATTTTACACACCATGTTTCTATAAAACTATAATCTGTTCATAATCAGTATTTTAATAATTAAGAAAATATATTTAATAGATAACATAAATATGTTATGTAAGCAAATAGTTCTATATCTTCTACAACATATATTTCCACAAAACGTACACTTCATATATTAGTAATTACTTTATTAATAATATTTAAAATAATGTTTTTATTTAATCTGTTTCATGTAAAACTACATTATGTAAGTATGAATATTGCTATATTTTCACAGCATATATCTCTACAAATTCATACTTAATATGAGCATATTACTAATCAAGAACTAATATTTGAGATGGTTATAGTCATATAGTATACAAATATATAAATATGTAAGCACAAATACAAGCATACAAATATATAAATAGAAATAAGTACATAAATATCTCTATATTTTACACCTAATGTAGTTCGACAAAACGTGTGTTGAATATAAAATAGAAGTGCTGTTGTACTATGCCACAGCGTGTGGGTATATACCGGTGATCTGAGGTTTCATCCCGGGCACTGGGCTGATTACTGACACCTTACCTGAACAGAGCTTTGCTTGCTTAAGAAAATATTCCAGCTGGGTGCTACTAGCTCCCGCCTGTCATCCCAACTACTCAGGAGGCTGAGATCTAAGGATCACAGTTCAAAGCCAGCCAGGACGGGAAAGTCCGTGAGACTCTGATCTCCCATGAACCACCAGAAAAGCAGAAGTGGTGCTGTGGCTCAAGTGGTAGAGCACCAGCCTTGAGCTGAAGAGCTCAGGGACAGCACCCAGGCCCTGAGTTCAAGGCCCAGGACTGGCACAATTTAAAAAAAAAATGAAGTATTCCCAGATGAGGAGATACTTTTGCAAAAAGCAGACCAGTCGTGTGTGTGTCTGTGTGTGTGTCTTTGTGTGTGTCTGTGTGTCTGTGTGTGCGCGCACCTTGCTTCCTTTAGTAAATAGCTCTCCTGCCTGTGGTTGTTGTCTGATGATGGCTGTGGCTAATGGCAGAGCACTGGACCAGGAGTCCAGCCACGCATTCCTTTCCGGTGTCTGCAATCACCCGTTACCTAACGGCCTTCCAGGGGGATGGGAGAGCCGGGCCGGGGTGGACAGGTGTCTCACTGGCTGGGCATTGTTGCTGGCTAGGAGGACAGGCTGTGAGGTAATGAAGAGCCCTTCATTTCCACCGGCTGCCCGGGGAGGTGGAGTCGCCTGCCCAGGGCGACACGCAGAGCCTCAGGTTCATCTAATGAGAGGCCCACAGCCCCCCGGCCCCTGCCGCTCCCCTCAATTAGCAGACAAGGCTTTTAATGCGGCCTCCATGCAAGCAAAGCCATTTTGATTACTTAGTGCTGAGTCTCCATTTAGAATGTTCCAGAAGCTCAGCCAGCCTGCCTCTCCCTCCCCTCCCCGGACCCCTCCCCACCTTAACTCCTCTTAATTTTTTTTTTAAACAAGTAATTTATCTAGAAAGGATTTAAATGGGAAGAAGCTGTTTCCAAGCCAATCACATTCATCCTTCCTTTGAAACAACAGACTTAAGTAATGTGGAAATATATCTCTATTTGTAAAGTCAAATAATAGAATTTACTCCAGCAAGGGAAATAGAAATAAGAGCATTAGAGAGATGGAGATGATGGCTGTCCAGGAGGCCGGGCGTGTTTTTGCATGCATGCTTGTGTGTGTGTGTAGGTGTGTGGGTGTGTATAAACACGTGTAACACACTCCTGTGTGAGCCTGCAGGTGCACACCAGCACGATTCATTCCTCACTGTGCCAACATTTTGCCCTGGATGA